TTAATTTTTGATGAGTATATTCATACTCACCTGAATATATGCTATGATTCATGAATCTTACTTATTCTTGTGAAGCTGATTCATTAGCATCAGCATTCGTCAACGAACATACTTATGATTCACTTCTGTAGCGAATGTTAATGCATGTACATAAGTACTATATGAGAGAAATATTTGTACACAGTTAGATTTGGGTTTTTATGAGTGCACTCTGAGTGTTAAAATTACGACTCGTTGCAGTTCTCTGGTACGGATACGATATTGTCGATACGCTACTGTCGATAAAAAATATCTGTAAACCGAATTATTTTTGCTTTTAAAAGAAAGTGTGAATCTCTTTATTTTTCTAATTTTCGCTTTTTTTGAAAATGGATTGCATATTGAATGGGGAGGCTCACTTTTTTTTGTAATATATAATATACTATATATGAAGTGATTATGATTAAAATATTTCAAAACAGTACGAATGCAAGCAAAGAAGTTCATAAGTTATTGCAAATATGTTCAGATAATTATATTGAATGCATTCAACAAATAAAATATTTTTTTACTCGTACCCAGACTGTTTTTATGCCAGTTTGTTTTTTACAAGAGACCATATGCCTTTCATGCATTGAAAAATGTGGATTTGTGAATAAACTTGGGCATATGTCGCTATATTGTGTCAGTTAGTCACACTGAGATTCTAAAAAAACTTAAAGATCGTAAAATATGATTCTATAAACTCATGTACTGACAGTTTCATAAAACTATCGTATCAACATATTTTCGGAACTTAATAATAAATGATGACTTAATTCGTATTTTCGTTTCATTGAAATTGTAATTTAAATTAAGTTTATAGACTGCTTTTCCAATGATTTAATTTATAACTGAATACTCACTCCCAAAACTCTTTAACTGGATCTGTAAGGTCAGACGCAGACACATTTGTAGCCGCTAAGGAACAAATCTTTTTTGTTGTGCCATTTATAAATTTCTCCCAACACATTAAATCCTTTCGTTCGTATGGATTTACACAATTTAAAGTATTCCAGTAATTATTACAAGTTCTCCATGGAACATCTGTTTTAAAATATTATTTAGAAACAAAACAACACCTTTTTTTTAACTAACCGGCTCGCATAGACATAAAGAAGTAAAATACAGCCCAAGCTAAAATTACAATATAGTAGACATTCATCCAACATGACATCACAGCTGCCGCATAACCAATGCCTTTTAAAAAACACTAGCTATTTTAACTGTTTCTAATTTAATTTATTATGAAAGAATATACATACCTTTAAAAATTGGTGCAATTTTGAAAACTCCAAGTCCACCTATTGTTAACATTTGGCCTAACGCAAGCTCCATAAAAAACATAGGAATACCTGCCAATATCAGTGTCATAAAATATGGAATTAGAAATGCACCACCACCATTTTTGTAACACAAATATGGAAAACGCCATACATTCCCCAATCCGATAGCAAGGCCAACAACTGAAAGTATAAAGTCTAGTTTTGATGACCACGAACCACGTTCAGGTAGATTATCCAATTTAACGACCTTTCGAGAAAAAAATAGAGTTAAAACTTATAAAATATACTTTTTTACTAAAATTTCAACATATACTTAACGTATATTAGTAGAAATACATATGACACAGGATATACTAAACTCAAACACTCTCAATGAATTAAGAAAACATATATAAGAATTTGATTTTAACATAGTTATGACGATAATGAATATAATAGTTTCTCAATGGAAACTATTATATTTAGTAAAGAGATTTCGAACAAAAGTAAATTGTAAGAACAAAATTTTTATTTGTTTTTGTTTAATTGAATTTAAATTAATTGACACAAAAGAAGTAATATAATATCATCCAATAAATAACACCTCTACAAAAAAATAGGTTAGTACTATTTACCAATAAGAGTTTTATGTTACAATCATACCATAACCATAGGGTTAGAATACCATAGGGTCACCCAATGGATTATAACTGGTTGGATTATAACAAATTATGACTGAGTTTCACTTGCAACATCCGACCGCAAGGTGTAAATCTGGTAGCATGGAGGTCAGATTCCACAGCATCGGCTTTTCACACTAATAGAGGTTGGGTCATTAATGAGATTATAGTGGTGGATGCGGTTATAAATCAAATTTACTTGGGTAAAATGACTATATTCATTTACTTACATTTGATGTGGAGTGGCATTTTCCAACAGGGTGCCAATTTCAATTTCTAGTAACAGAATTGGTTGGAATTTCGATGGGGTTTTATTAATCTTTCCTGACGCAATGACACTCTGATAAGGGTGACTGTTATTTTACTCATTACTGTTGAACTGCAGATCGTTCCAGTCCATATTGAAAAGTTAAAAAAAACACCCGAACAGTTATTTTTATTTGCAAGCACAGTTTTTAATTTGTTTGTCATGTAGTTTACTTGTTCTATTATTCCATGTTTTTTGCAAAACTTAAATTGGGATAATTTAATTATGTTTAATATATGGCTGTGTCTTTTCAAGCACTATTTTTTCAAATAGATTTGAAGTCGAGGGCAGTAAACTGATTGGTCTGCATAAAGTTGGTAAAGTTTTACCTTCGCCACTTTTAGCAAGTATTATTGTTTCCGAAACTTCTAAAGGTTACGAAAGTATTCCATATGTAAAATAGCGTTGAATCAGTTCGATAATATTATAACACCAATGTATAGTAATTACTTTATCGCCATCATTGTTATTAAATTATATCCTTATATCTTTACCTTTACCTTTCACCTTTACTTCAGGTCTCTTCATCTTTTCCTACCCGTAATAATTCAATGAATTCTTTTAGAATTTTAATGTTTCTCTTTCACATAATGGTTAGTTGCAAAAATAATATCAAGATCTTCGACGGCATCTTTTTTGAAATAGCTTCAACAGAAAGCTTCACGAAGAGTGGCTATAACTACATCATAAATAGGATCTAGAATGATGCATCTATGTATTTTGCTTGGTATAGGAAGTAATGTGATGCCACGGTAGTTATTGCAATCTTTAGCATCACTTTTCTTCACAACTATACCATCATTCCACGAGGTGGGCAGTGTTTCTTTATTTCAGATTTTTTGTATAAACGGGTGCCACAATGAGGTTGATTTCTCTACGTCACACAGGAGCATTTCTGCGCATTTCTGTCATTGCCGGGAGCCTTGTTGCGTTAAAGTGCTTTTATAGCGTTTTTTTACCTCATTTCTTGTTGGCGGTGAAAGAATGTAATATCACAATTTGCCAAATATGTGTATCTGTTGGTGCTGTTAGCTCGATTCGGTTGTTAAGAGTCGAATTAAAATGCTCCATCCATCGAATTTCATTATTAAATATTTCTAAATACGTAAAGTTCAAATTAAATTGAGTTTTGTACAATACTTCACATTGATAAAAATTAATTGATGCTTTTCCGAATACCGATAATAGTATCATACCTGATACATTGATTGTTCCTTAACTAAATAATATTAAACAAATATACATAAAATATTATCACTTAACCGAATAATAGCGAGGCTACTTTTTATTTTTAATTACAAATTTCTGTTAACTGCAATTATAGCTCATTTTATTGGCTATTATTTTTTTTTTTTGGCTTTTAGAAGTATAAGCATATTATAAAAAATAAAGACACTGATGTCGTGCCTTTGTCGAAGATGCGGTAGACGTGGAAAATAGTTGCTGTTAAATTTATCCCTATGCTATTTACGAAGGTCGCTATTTATATTTTGAGCCTAATAAGGAAAAAAATACTAACTTATTGTTGAAAATTGCTTTATTGTTCTTGAACTATTCTCCTTTATGATTAATACACTTTTGCACTCGTTCGAAACATTTGTCAAAGCATTTTTTCCAATCTTCTTCAGACACCTCTAAAACATGGTTTTTAAATGCAACAACGGCTTGATATTTGAGTACCCAAATTGTTTTGATGGTGAATGATCCGACGGGAATTATTTGTTTTCCGAATTTCACTGAACAAATAGTAATATACCATTCGGAAATGACCGTTTTATGTTCCTGTAATGGTATAATTGGTGCCAGTTTTTTCCTAAAAAACAAGCGACTATTTGCTTCGAAATGTTTCGAGCGCAAACAACTTTTGTTGGATTTGATTCAATTGGAAACACCCTATAGTCGACTGCTATTTACGTTCCGGCTCATACGCAGATACCCAAGATTCGTCACCTGTTACAATCTTATAGTATGCAAGCACTGGCATTGCACTTCTTGAGCATTTGTGTGCACCAAGCGACACAAGCATCTTTTTGAGATTTTGTCATATAACGGGGAATCCAATGAGAACAAAGCTTTCTCACGGCTAAATGATCAAGCATGATCATGATTTTATATATGACGGTGGACCTAATGCATAGAGTTTCCTCAATCTCAAGTATGTCGCATTATCAGTTTTTGCACAGCATCAATGTTTTCTGGCACAACAACTGATTATAAACGAATCAGTTGTTCATGAATTCCGTCAGTGAGCGAACTCATCTTGATAATCTACGTCGAAAGTCGAAATAAATTATCGTACGAAAATTTTCTTGCGTTGATTCTATTTTTTCGCGAACACGCAATTAACAAATCATTGTAAATAACACAAATAATGCTCTTTTGACAAATAGTCTAAAATAGGTCATGTTTAATAATGTCAAACATTCGTATGGAAATGTCAGATAACACCTGACAGCAGACAGTGTTGCCAAGACTCAAAATATAAATAATGACCCCCGTAACACCGAATGTTGAGCAATTGCTTGAAGTTAACCGCAATAAAAAACAATTTTAAAAACAAACTATTTATTGTTAAGTTGGATCGACTTCAGCCAATAGCTATTTACTTTGATCGAGACGTTTACTCGAGTAGCTTTTTTAACTGTCATTTTGATTACTTAAAGGCATCAACAAGTAGTTTGTGCAGCAGTATCCACAATCTCAAAGAACTATGGAATTTGGTCGTGATGTTAATAACGTAACATTTTAAAGTAAATCATTCACAACAGTTTCGTTACGGCGAACATTTTTACGGCGAAACTTTTTCAAAAATTATTTCGAATTGCATTTTTAATATTAACAATTTTAAAAAAATTTTCGCATATAAAAACTAAATAAGTAGAATATTTTGTCATCATAGAGCACATATAACAATAATTTTTAGCAATGATTTAAATAAAACTGTGTTTTTTATAAGTAAATGTTTGAACTACCTTGTACTCCGAACCTAATATATTCTGTTATCGAAATACTAATGAATATAATGTATAATGCAATGTCATAACGCAATTACTATACATAAAATACTAACTATCAACAGTGTTCCCGTTTTTCAACAAACATATTTTTTGCTTTCTACAATCCGCCGCGTCATTATTTTTGTGCACCCATACAAATATTTTTTACAAAGAACTGCAAATAATTGTTCGTTTGATGCATTATAAACATATATAAGCGAAATAAATGAAATAATAGATCTATTCCGGTACGTATAACTAGTAAAACTGAAGTGAAAAGTTACTTGAATTTTTTTATTTTCTGTTCCCATATCAAAAATATATTAAGATGAGTGAGTTTGACCGAGCAAATTAAAGTAATGTCAAAAAATATCTGACTAGTATTGTACTCGTAATTAAAAGTAACATTACAAAAAACATTTTTCTAGTCATGGAAGGAAATTTGTTTTGTTTTGTTTTTTTTTTTATTGCTACAACTATTTACATTATAAATAACGAATAGCTTAAATATGATAAATAAGCAATTTTCTACACAAATTACTTTACATTCTAATTCAATGCTACGTCAGCGACATTTCGCCGTTTTAATCCTCTTTGTTGTCCAAACGAGGTTATGATGTTAACAGCTTCTGTGTTAACATGTTGCTGCAACCTCAATTTATGACTTGTTGCTTTCTGCTTTCTTTCTTATTTCTTCAGCGACTGTGGACAACTTTAGATCGCGGTGTATATCGCTGTTCCTAATGTACCATGGTGCTTTTAAAATGTTCCGTAGAACCTTGTTCTGGAAACCTTGGATTATTTCTATGTTACTTTGGCTAGCGCTCGCCCATAGTTCAGCGCCATTCAACCATACAGGTTTTAAAATTTTATTGTATAGCAGAATCTTGTTTTGCATAGATAGTGTGAATTTGCAGCCAATCAGCCATTCCATTTTTCGCAATTTCATATCAAGCTCGTCCCGTTTCTTTTTTATGTGTTCTTTCCATCGAAGTTTTGCGTCCAACGTTATACCAAGATATTTTGCAGTATTGGCATATGGTATTTGAGTACCTTGAATCGAAATAGGAAGATACTGTATTTTTTTATTTGTAAAATCCACATGAACAGATTTAGCAGAATTCAGTTTAATACGCCATCTTTTTGTCCAATTGTCTTACGAATTTGTAGCTGTTTGTAATTTGGCTATTGATTCTTCAACGGAGTCAGCAATCGCCAAAATAGCAGTATCATCAGCAAATGTTGCAATTTTACTTTCAGGTGTTATTGGCAAGTCCATTGTGTA